ATTATTATTATTATTATTATTATTATTATTATTATTATTATTATAATTATTCTGTTAAAGGACGAAGAGGCAGTTTTGGATTTTTTAACAGACGAGGAAAATTTAGCAATGCCGGACAAAATAGGTAAATTTTACAAATTTTTCTTTTTCAAGAAATTAGCGCAGACCACAGTCAAGGAACTATATACAGGAACGCCAACTCAGATATACGCATTTTATGTACTGTACACTGTGGGAGGAATGTAAACAAACCAAGTGCCCCCACAGAAGTTGAAGGGAAAGGACCATAGATAAATAAATAAACATAGATAGCTTATGTACGCAAAATCACCAAGAATTATACAGTCCGCGAACTCATACTTCTAGGGGTCAAATTGTACTTCAATGATAAGCGGGGTGGTTTGGTGTTTTAATGGATTTCATAATTATTGAACCACTCAGGAGGGAATTTTATTTTACTGAGCAATATATCATATTGACGAGAACTGAAGAAGGGCATGGGAAGGACTAAACTAACTTAAATTTCTCTCTAGAGAACTCATGTACACCACAAGTTATACTCAATGACATAAGAACATCCAATGTTCACAACCGACCTGGCTAATCTATATAATAGGAATATCTTTAAAACATTTCTGTACATTTACATCTTTCAAGATGAAAAATGTCGTCTTATACGCAATCTATCTTTATCTATGGAAAGGACTAAAGCTCTGATGTGATATTACAGTCAAACAAAAAACAAGTTAATATATCAAGTTAGTGCGAATATATATGATTTTAGGCTTTCTGGTCAATATGAAAAATACAATAGCAATATTTTTTTATTTCACCCCTTGGACCCTTTTCTCTCAAAAATGATGCGTTGCCCCTTAATTCTTTGTTTTGATCTCCTCCCACTGGAGTACACAGATTTAACGCATAATATATCATCTTTTTACTATCTAGAGGATGTAAATGCAGAGGAGCTTTTAGACATCATTGAAGAGGTAAAATTCCATGCCTTCGTTTTTTTAATCTAGGAATCCACCTTTGCCTGGAAACTATTTTCCCTACAATATTTAGACAATGCTAAAAATATTCCTGTTTTTCTACTGAGTTTAGAGCACAAGTCAGTCAAGGGGTTCATGAGTTATGATCGGGCAAATACACCCAAAAAGAAATTATTACTTTATATGCATATTATGAATATTGTTAGGATCCATTGGTTGCTGTCTTCTTCTATGATGAGAGTAAGGCTAGTGCAAAGGTGAAATATTACATATTGTGTTAATGTATAAAATATTTTCAAAATTCGCGATGAGAACCAAGTTTTTGCTACAATTTATGGTTGTCTTATAGTTTCTATATCTTTACGTGACAACTTGATGTCGTAGACCTTTATTATTTCAAGTTATGTATACTGTTAGATCAAATAGTCTTATAGTTTCTATATCTTTACGTGACAACTTGATGTCGTAGACCTTTATTATTTCAAGTTATGAATACTGTTAGATCAAATAGTCTTATTTTTATTATAAGTTCCAATGCGGCTTTCAACATTTTTGAACAATACAATTGGCTTAGTTGTATTCAAATTACAAAAAGTTTGAAATCGCTGAACAATCCCTTTTTTGAAAAAAAAATATATTTAGGCTCTTGAGTACATGGAAAATATTGATGAGGAAACGGACATATTTAACATCAGGTATATATTAGGTCACTTGAAATTACGCTTACAGTCCCTTTAACCCTATAAAGGGGCCCTATATATGCCCACCCCCACCACATAGAAAAAGGACTTAGAGAATAGGTATAGGGTTGAAATACCTGGTCATAGCCCAATTGTCCAAACCAGGACAGTTCACTGAAAAAAATTAGACCGATTACCTGAATAGTCGGAGGCTAAGTAGGCTTAGAAAAAATGCAAAAAAATGAAAAAACTATTTTTTTGTTTTAAACAAATATCTAAGTGTAACACATGTTTCTACGTGCATTTTTCAAGGGCTTTTCTAAAATATAGTTTTTAGATCTGTAGCTTTTATTCGCAAAAAAGTTATGGGCTATTTTAGATTTTTTTTACACAGACCGGACTTTTTACCGCCCTGTACCCTACTCGATGCATAAAAAATGTTTCTTTCAAAAAATCATTTAAATTTCCATTCATTAAAAGTCACAACATTTCACAGTGACAGTGTCAAAAATGAGAGTGCAAGGACAAAAAATACTGGAAGGGGGTTGTCAACCCCCCCCCCCCCCCTACAGACTAGCCTTAAAAATCCATGTTCCTATTATTCTATTTTAAGCGAGTAAGAATATGTTTTACATATTTTTTTTTAATTTAGCCTTCATCTGTAAAGAACATCTTGCGTTTATTGTTTATTGCCTTGAACTGTCCTAATTTTGACTGCTATACATCTGTGTGTTGTCCTACATTTAATCTGAAACGAATATTTCTAAGATGTGCAGTTAGTCATAATAATTATTTATATCATTGGCTACAACTTAAAATCTGATAATATAATAATTGTTAAATTAATTTTCATCGTTTGTTATCCTCGTTTATTCCTTTAAGAAAACAAACGGTATCGGCTTGCAACCTTCATCAACTGCAAAGTGCATGCATTATCAAATAGATGATCAAGTACAATAGGTGGCAACAGAAAAAAAGATCAATTATACACGACGCCACAAGTGTCAAATATAACAAGGATAACGAAATTGGCTCACATTAGTTGACATGTTTTCCAAGATTTAATAAAAAAGGGTAAAAACAGAAACTAAAGAACACATAAAATTGCACTTTATTCTAAAATTATCACTACTAAGAGTGTACAAATTCTATGTTGCCATCTATTGTACTAGAATCTATTTGATTGGCTACATCTTAAAATCTGATAATATAATAATTGTTTAACTAATTTTCATCTTTTGTTATCCTCGTTAATTCCTTTAAGAAAACAAACGGTATTGGCTGCGTTCTTCATCAACTGCAAAGTGTATGCATTATAATATTTATTATATATCAAAAATATTGTAGAATTAATTTTGTTTTTCTACCTTCACATTTAATAATTTTGATTGCAGTTTTCCTTATTAAAGTCACAAATGGGTTTATGTAGTAGAAAAAAAGCTGTAAAATCTAAATGTTAGCAATTAAATGGAGGGTTACTTGAACTTTGTTTAACAGTCTCTTTAAATAAAACTGTTATAGGTTTCTACGTATCAAGGATCCGAGTCGGTTTATGATTTTTCTACAGCCCCTTTAAATAAAACTGTTATAGGTTTCTACGTATCAAGGATCCGGAGTTGGTTTATGATTTCTCCCTCACAAGCGTTCCTTCACTTGTCTACTTCAGGCAACAAAATGTTTTGAAAATAAAAAAATTAAAATGTTCTAAAAAGAAATTTAAACGCTTTCCTCAAACTGAAATTTTCCAAATAGATTCTAGTACAATAGAAGTCTTAGAAGAATTTGTACAATCTCAGAACAGTTGTGTCACTTCAGTTTTTGTTTCTGAAAAAATTATCAATAATAGGGATAATTTTAGAATAAAGTGATTTTCTTACAGTAAAATAACTGTAATTTTATGTGTTCTTTATTTCCTGTTTTTAAACTTTTTTATTTAATCTTGGAAAACACATCAACTAATGTGAGAAAATTTCGTATTCCTTGTTATATTTGACACTTGTGAGTGTGACGTCGTGTATAATTGGTTCATTTCTCTTTTGCCACCTACTTGATAATCTTTCTGAAATTTTCTAATCTCTGAGCCTTTACATTTATAAAGAGACTGCAGGGTAACTTTTTTTGGAACCTAAAACTTTTAATTTGCTCTAATTAATAGGTTAGCAACATGTGCCGGTTACAAAAATATAATGATCTGCAATTTAGAGATTGAGAATTGCTATAATTTTCTTTTTTTTATGAGGACTGATGAAAGTACTGCTATTGAAATGTATTTCCATTTCTTTAAACTTGTTTATTTTGCTTGTTACGTATATAAAAAGAACACATTGTACTTGTTAGGATTTTAGACAAAATTGTATTTTCTAAAAACATTTTATTTCTGAGTAGACACGAGATACCAGTAGTTTATGAGGTATGAGATTGTAGAACTATATATGTGTATTTATGTTAGCTAGCTGGCCAAACTGCGGGACCGAATTGGCTGTCTTTTTTTTAGAAAACTCATTGTACCCGGGGAGGGGGGGTAATATGCTTCAAAAATATCAGGGAAACGCAGGGCACTTCAGCTAGTACACAAATAAAACAAAAATAATTTTTATTTTTACAGAAATTATTAATTTTAGTTTTTACTTTGATGTTTTTGTAAACTTTAATTACTATGATCATGATGATCATTGATCCAATCCTTATATATTTATCAAAACTTTAGAGGAGAGGAAGACGACATTATTAAGTGTATTTGATGGTGTTACAACTCAAAAAGCTCACTTGTAACTTTTTGAATCAATAATTAAGTTAATAAGTCTGTTTACTCTGCAAAATTACCGTGTCTCATGTTAATTTAACTATTAAAAATTATGTCGTCTTCTTCTTCAAAGTTTTCTGGTTCTCCATGTGCAATGATAAATCTATTATTTCAGGGAGATTTATCTGATGAGTCTGAGATGCTGGAATGGTTAATTCAGCAACGAAGTGGGGCGGATGATAAGGTTTGAAACTAATATAGAACAAGTGCAAAGAAATAAAACTAATAGAGAAGAAGTCCCAGTAAATTATTTATTTACTACAGAAAAGTGTGGTATGTGAATCATCAAACTATGCTGAATCTTTTAGATAATTTGATTGGAGATGAAAATTTCTTATAATAGTGTAATTAATAAACTGAGTGAACCAGGACCAGCTGGACATCAATAAACTATGTATGATATAAGATAAGATAAAGTTTATTGCTAAAATAAATGTATCTGTATACAGATAGAGTTTACAATCACAAATTGATGATTATATTAACAGTACAAGTATAAAGCAATTAGGTGGAAAATAGCTCTTGGCTGTTTTGATTATTTTTTCCACCTAATGTTAGTAATAATAACAAAATATTTCAATTAAGTAGATTTAAGGAGAACGATTAGAGATCTAGATTAGAGATCTAGGACAAAGTGGAGCTAGTGAACCAGGACCAGCTGGATATCATTAAACTATGTATTCTAGGACAAGGTGGAACTAGTGAACCAGGACCAGCTGGATATCATTAAACTATGTATTCTAGGACCAGGTGGAGCTAGTGAACCAGGACCAGCTGGATATCATGGTTAGAAATGTTGACAGCCTTCTTGTTCTTTTTGTGGATAATACTAGGATGTCAAACAAGTAAAAGTTTTTGTTCATATTTTTATATTTAATTTTTTTCACTCTTAATTGTTCTCACAAATATAAGAAGTTTCACAAATTTAAAGATGGTATGTCACATGGTGTAAAAGTTTACATTAAGCAAAAGGTCTAAACGGTTTTTAAAAATATTTTGTCGATAAAACTAATAGAGATCAAAATTCCAAATTCCTATACTGTTAGAACCTCAATCAAACAAAATGACTATGGAAGACTAAAAGTGTGAATACCTAATTTCTTGTTTTGATATTTTTTCTGAATTTCAGAGTTTTTGACGTAATGGAGACTATTGATGATGATTGCGATGCTTTGGGAGTCAGTTTTGTTGCTGTCAGAGATAGAGCATTAGCTGCCAGGTAACCTAATAACCCCAAAATCATTAAAATAAGAAAGTTTCCGTCAACACATTCATGCAAGCTTAATTTATAAAAATGTGTTTGGTTGGTAGGGCAATTATACGAGTAAAAGCTTCCTTTTTATCATTCTCTTAACCCAGTTCTGCTAGTTTACTTTCGGATTTGGAAAGCCTTATAAATGCTTTGTCTGAATATTAAAATCTATGTTAATAATCTAACCACATAGTGTGTAAATGGAGAAAATAGTATGCATCATTAAGCAAAGGTGTGCAAAGTGCACAGCAGCTAATGATTACTTAAATGTATGTTTACAGTCCCTTTAAAAGGTTTTCTCTAGATATACTATTGATGAGTTCCCCTCCCTGGTGTACTTTGAACAGGAGATCCCAAGTGTATTCGACGGAGACCTGGAGAACGGGTCTGAGGTGCTTACTTGGGTTGTTGATCTACTTACTGGAGCTGATATTGAGGAGGTAGGTTCTTACTTGGGTTGTTGATCACTTACTGGAGCTGATATTGAGGAGGTAGGTTCTAACTTGGGTTGTTGATCTACTTACTGGAGCTGATATTGAGGAGGTAGGTTTTTACTTGGGTTGTTGATATTCTTACTGGAGCTGATATTGAGGAGGTAGGTTCTAACTTGGGTTCTTGATATTCTTACTGGAGCGGATATGAAGAAGGTAGGTTCTTACTTGGGTTGTTGATATTCTTACCGGAGCTGATATTGAGGAGGTAGATTCTCACTTGGGTTGTTTATATTCTTACTGAACCTGATATCGAGGTGGTAGGTTCTTACTTGGGTTGTTGATATTCTTACTGGAGCTGATATTGAGGAGGTAGGTTCTTATTTGGGTTGTTAATATTCTTACCGGAGCTGATATTGAAGAGGTAGGTTCTTATTTGGGTTGCTGATATTCTTACCAGAGCTGATATTGAAGAGGTAGGTTCTTATTTGGGTTGATTACCTACTGGAGCTGATTTTGAAGAGGTAGGTTCTAACTTGGGTTGTAGATCTACTTAATAGAGCTGACATTGAGGAGGTAGGTTCTCACTTGGGTTGTTGATATTCTTACTAAAGCTGATATTGAGGAGGTAGACAAGAAGCCACAACAATATACTAAAATCTAATTGTTCTGGTAAACCTTTAAAGTCCAGTTACAATGGTTAATACTCATGAACAGGATGAAGTTGCAAAACCTTTTTTTAGCTTAAGTTTTGAAGGACTAGACCAAATTTTGACACAACTTTTTTATATTTTCACGGAATCATTCTTAATTTTAACATGAAAATGCTCATTATCTATAAGAGAGACCTTCTTAATTTTGACCAAAATAATCGCCATTTATACAGAAATGTTTTAAAATTGACAGAAATGTTTTTATAATTTTGACAAAACCGTTAATAATTTTGACCAAATCTTTTTTAATTTTGACAAGGATTACTATTTTGATAGTTATACTGTAATGTTAAGGTGACAAACGAGATCTTGGATAGGTTTATATCAACCAGAAACTACCTTGCTGTTTTATTCTTCAAGGAAGGAGAAGAGGCATCAAACTCAGCTCTCCAGGTAAAAAGTTGTCTTTGTTTTCATCCCCAGTCAGAGTTTTTATATTTTTCTGTTTTGAATTTCTAAACTATTTATTTATATAATTTTCCATAAAAGGAAGATCGTTTCATTCTGACCTTGATTAACCATCCCTGGGATCATTTATTATCGAATAATGAAATAATTTGTCAGGTTTTGAAAATGACTAATGATGATCTTATTATTTGATTTTAAAGAAAATTGATGATGATATAGATGATCTAATTATTCGTATTTAAAGGAAATTGATGATGATCTTGACGAAGGAAATTGATGATGATCTTGACGATCTAATTATTCAAATTTAAAGGAAATTGATGATGATATGGATGATCTAATTATTCGTATTTAAAGGAAATTGATGATGATATAGACGATCTAATTATTTGAATTAAAGGAAATTGATGATGATATAGATGATCTAATTATTTGTATTTAAAGGAAATTGATGATGATCTTGACGATCTAATTATCTGAATTCAAAGGAAATTGATGATGATCTTGACGATCTAATTATTCGAATTTAAAGGAAATTGATGATGATATAGATGATCTAATTATTCGTATTTAAAGGAAATTGATGATGATCTTGACATTCTAATTATTCAGGGGAAATTGATGATGATTGATCTTATTGATCTAATTTTTCAGGTTTATGAGGAGATCATTGATAATTTAATTTTCCAGTTTTGGAGGAAATCAATCAGGAGATTGAGTATGATCTAAATGATATAATTATTTAGGTACTTGAAGAGATTGATGATGATATTGATGATATAATTATTTAGGTACTTGAAGAGATTGATGATGATCTTGACGAGCTTGGAATCATGTTTGTCAAAATAGATGACGAGAAGGAGGCAGAAGAATATGGAATCTCAAATCTTCCAGCAATAGGTAAATTTTTATAATTGTGTCGCATGTGAAAATTTACAAAACGAATTTTTTTTTGCTATTTTTGTTTAACCTCATTTCCACCATTCTCATTCATCCAATCGACATAAGAATGATTGTTCTTTATGCGTTTTCTGTTAACCCTATTGGGCTATCTTTGTCTAATATAGATAGGGGGTGGGGGAGTTTTCCACCCCCCTCCCTGTGATTTTGCCCTTAGAGTTGAGATAGTGGATTGTGATACATACATGTCCAACTTTTCAAGGCCTGCTCATTAAAAAAAATGTAGACCACTAACTTTAATGTTTAGGGTGTAAAGAAGGATTATTAAAAAGTTCAAAAAAATTTTATTTTTAACATTTTTAAAATTTTAACATATGACACATGTTGTCATATTCATTTTTCAAGGCCTTTTCAGATAATAAGGTTTAGCCATGAGCTTCATAATAAAAAATGATTTACCATTTCTGATTTTTTTTAACACCAACCCGCCGTTTGACAATTCTCCACCCTACCCTATGCATCAAAAAAAATTGTTTGGCAAAATTTGTTCACAACTATGATGTTAAAAAAGTGAAATAGTTTTAGCGTTCTAAAGTAAGCCATTTTTAAGTTATTTAGAATAAACCACACAGGGGGGGGGGTGGAAAATACCCCCAAACCATGATAGGGTTAATTAGAAATACTTGAAAATTAGAGGTCTAACGTCACTGAGCTTGCCTTGAAAAGTTGGTCTATGATTATAAATATTAAGTGCACCTCCATATCTTTACTCTAATACCTTTGCTATAAGGGGGTTTTATATTTGGAACCTGATATTGTAATCTTCAACTAATTGATCTAGAAAATGCATGTGTCAAAAATATAGAGATTTGACAAACATAATGTGTTTCTTTCTAGTTGTGTTTGAGAACGGTATCCCTAATCTGTATGATGGAGGGTTTGAGAATGGTGAAGATATTCTAGAGTGGATTGTAGCTGAGTCAAGTGGAGATCATACAATAGGTAAATAGAATAAGAGACTCTTCGAAATTTACAAATAGTTTTAAAAATTTTCGCTATTTACAAATAGGTAAAAAGACTATTCACAATTTAAAAATAGTTTGAAAAAGAACTCTTTGAAATACTTGAAGTCTAAGCAATTTTTTAAACTTCATTTTTTTTGCAAGAGCTAAAAACTTACATAATCTTGTTGGATTAACCAAAATCTTTGAATGTGTAAATAAGCGATAAAATTAGACCCCCCCCCCCCCATTCAGATTATGTTCAAAAATATGCAAAAGTCAACGGTAAACTTCAAACTGCCATTGCTTCCAACTACAGACCTCTTAGTGGTGTCCTTTGATTTCAAATATTGCATAGATTTCAAAATTCTAATCAAAAAATTATGAGAGCTGTAGTCTGTTTTTGACACCCTCTATTATTTTTTACTGTTTAGAATCAGTAACAGACAATATGTTGGATACTCTTGTTCTTGATCATGATCACGTAGCAGTCGTCTTCTATCAGAAGAATGATCCTCTTTCTCAGGTTAGTTGATCATGATCATGTAGCAGTCGTATTCTATCAGAATAATGATCCTCTTTCTCAAATTAGTTGATCATAAACATGTAGCAGTCGTCTTCTATCAGAAGAATGATCCTTTTTCTCAGGCTAGTTGATCATTGATCATGTAGCAGTCGTCTTCTATCAGAAGAATGATCCTCTTTCTCAGGTTAGTTGATCATTGATCATGTAGCAGTCGTATTCTATCAGAATAATGATCCTCTTTCTCATTGATCAGGGAAGAAAGATCTCAGAACTACCTCCCACTGCACTGCAGCTGGTTCAAATCACTGATTCAGAGTTAAATATTCCTGAGGATTTGAATCGATGAATCAGGATTTGAACCGTCAGTTCTAATTTATTAAATTCGGTCCCAGGAACCTCTATATGAAAAATATAAACAAATTATAAGAGATTATTCTAAAAAAAATATTATAAATATATCAATGATAACAATATTAATACTTACACAGGAGTTAATGGAGAGTCTAGAGTATATTGATGATGAATAATAACACTAATGATAATGATACAGGAGGTACTGGAGAGTCTAGAGTATATTGATAATGAATGATAACACTAATAATAATGATACAGGAGGTACTGGAGAGTCTACAGTATATTGATGATGAATAATAACACTAATAATAATGATACAGGAGGTACTGGAGAGTCTAGAGTTTATTGATGATGAATGATAACAATATTAATAATGACACAGGAGTTACTGGAGAGTCTAGAGTATATTGATGATGAATAATAACACTAATAATAATGATACAGGAGGTACTGGAGAGTCTAGAGCATATTGACGATGACGCTGTAAACTTCGAGTTCCCAATAAAATTGGTTCGAATGGATGATAAACAGGAGGCCAAGGTGATTTTACATTTTTTTTTAAATTCACGAAAAATGTAAGAGGGGAAAACGTGGGCCCCCAGTTTAGTTTCACTTTTTAAATCTTATTTTAAATAACGACAGCTTACATGGGAATCATTTTAAACAGTCTGCATGGGAGGGAATGATTAAAGTTGTATATATAACTCACAACAGTGCCTCTTTTTGGGGAACTTTAAAATACATTTCGTCATTTCTATGACTAAAAAAGCGTTGCATTTTTTTAATTCCCATACATCAGGTTACTTCCATAAAGAACTTGAAATTGAAAATAAACATTTTTTTAGCTAAACAAATAAATGTATATATATATCATTCATATGGGAAAATACGGCTCAGATCTAAGCTATCGTTGGGCCTTATTTACGGTTGGAGCTTTTGGATTTAAGCTGAATCTTATTATTCACAAAGCTGAGTTAAAAAAACCGGTTTAATATTCTATTTGGCGGATTTTCATGGTAGTAATTGGCGCACTCCAAGTTTTATGAGAATAAAATTCAACATTGAGCCTTATTCTCCACTAAAACCAAGCAAGGTCGGTTTTATTTCTATTGGGCCTAACTCCTTAAGTCGAGCCGAAGATGCTGCAGCTGTCAATCACGTGACACAAGTTGTCGTCAGAGTTGGGTCGAAGATTGGGTCTTAAAGTCGGGTTTAAGGAAATACGTAGTTTTTAAACCGTGGGCTCAGGAAAGGTAAATGGGTGCAGTGGTGAATTGTACATGTCATTTTACAAACTTAAGGTCACTTTAAAGATCCATTTGAAAATGATTTTTAACCTAATTCTACCCACGCAAGCCCGATGACTACAGTAAGACCCATAAAATTGTAGAATAGGAAGACGACTTGTCCACTCAAGTTATGGTTTAAAAAGTCAAATGAATTACGGCAATTTAAAATGTCTAGTTTTGTATGGGTCCCACTGTACAGTGTACATTCTTCATAAATGTGTGGTGTGTATTATATATTCTTCAGGAGTACGGTATTGGACATACCCTCATACCCTCCTCTACTGTACAGTGTATATGTACAGTGTTCACTGTACATTTTTCATAGCTGTAAAGTACATAATAAATTATATAAACTTCAGGAGTACGGTATTGAACAGTTTCCTACCCTGGTCTACTTCGATAAGATGATCCCTAATATATACAGTGGAAACCTTCTAGATAATCAGGTAAATAAATGGACTGCTCAATTCTTCAATTCAATTCTTTTGATCATAGTTTCTTATTGACCAATTTTTTTTTTCAGTTGTACAGTATAAATTTGAATTGGTTTGTTTACAGAATTATTATTCATTTTTTGTCCATTTTCAGTAAAAACACGGTAATTTTTCCAGAAAAAAATCAATAGTTCCGTAAAAAGCAATAATTAACATGGAAAAAAAAGGGACTGATTCCTTTAACAAATACTGCTCTAGGAGCTTTTAACCTGGATGACTGAACAAGCCTCAGGATCTCATATTGAAGATATTTCAAACGAAATTTTAGGTAAATATATAGTTCTAATAATATTCATCATCATTACTGTTATTACTATCATTATTAGTTTTATCATACTTTTTATTATTATTATTATTATTTTTATTAATGTTATTATTATTATTATTATTATTATTATTTTCATTTTTATTATTATTACTTTTATTACAATCATAATTATTATCATTTCATTATAAATTTTAATGTTATTATTATTATTATTATTATTATTAGTATTAGTATTAGTATTAGTATTAGTATTACTATTATTCTTATTATTATCATTTTCATAAAATATTGCTTTAGAAGACGCAAAAAAGTTACAAAAAATCACTCATCACGAACTCAAATTTTCTAATCTCTATATAGTCGCAACCTGATGTTCATAGACATTTAATACGTCAAACAATTTAATTTTTTGGACGAAACAGTTTAGAGTATGTGTTTAGTGAGTTCATTCCTTTTAGCGAATACTCTAAAAGACTGCACATTTGCTAACAAACAAAATGGTCACGGGCAGCTGTAGTACATTTGAATTTCCGAGCCAGGTCAACCTTTCCGGTCACAGTTTGTACTGTATCGCCCGGATATTGAGTAAATAAAGCAGACAATCGATAGGACTAGCCCATGACTATTTGGTGCAACAAGGTTGACGCGGTCAGACTTTGGGTATAATTTATTTTTACTTAAGGGTCAGAGGTGGGTGTGGTATAGAAATCAACAAAATGTAAATAGCAGTACATGAGAAGAGTCCAAAATTATGCTAAATAAATAGCCCGTCAACAAATACAGCTATAGCTGTAATTTAATGGGATCTTGAAACTTTGTGAGATTCAATCTTACTGGAAATCACGTTGAATAGTCTCAGCAAAACTTAATTTCAATGGAACTGAAAAAAAGAGATGCTTAATACTTTATAATAATCATAAAAAATGATTTTTGCGTTTGTGTCAACCAAGTCAGTGTCAAATATAACAGTTTAATGCAACAAAAAAATTTATCATAAAATGTGCCCTGGAAATTGCAATATGTTAATTATCAATAAAATCAAATAGATTATCAAGTACAATAGGTGACAACAAAGAACCAATTATTCACGACGTCACAAGTGTCAAATATAACAAGGAAAAATAAATATTCACACATTAGTTGGCATGTTTTCCAAAATTAAATAAAAAAATGTAAAATAAGAAAATAAAGAACACATAAAATTGCACTTATTTCATTGTAAGAAAAGCACTTTATTCTAAAATTATCACTATTATTTATAATTTTGTTGGACACAAAAACTAAGTTGACACTTATGACGTCAGAATACAGCTGTACTGAGAGTGTAAAAATTCTACGTTGCCATCTATTGTACTAGAATTTATTTGAATAAAAGCAAATATGTTTATAAAAAATACATACTTAAATATAGGTAAACATGGTATAAATTCTGATAGATCGAAGCCCAAAGAAATATTCACATCAGAATGGAAAACTTCATGTCAAGATGACAAAAGCTTGGATGATGATCGAAGCAAATCACCAAGAAACATCTAAAAAATGAAGCCATCCGAAAAAAGACAGAATCAGAAAATGGAAAAATTTGTTACACCATGTCAACGTGCAAATAGCTTTTATCAATTAAAATATATAAACTTATAATATGTAGATAGATGTTTATACAATTTTAATATATAAATTTGTAAAAAAAAACCTGTCAGTAAACTTAAAACATAGACAATCAATGAATCAACAAAATTATTATTAAAATGTAGACATAATTTCAAATAACCATCAATTAAAGAGAATGTAGACATAATTCCAAATAATCCTCAATTAAAGAGACTGTAGACATAATTTCAAATAACCCTCAATTAAAGAGAATGTAGACATAATTTCAAATAACCCTCAATTAAAGAGAATGTAGACATAATTCAAATAATCCTCAATTAAAGAGAATGTAGACATAATTTCAAATAACCCTCAATTAAAGAAAATGTAGACATAATTTCAAATAACCCTCAATTAAAGAGAATGTAGAATAATTTCAAATAACCCTCAATTAAAGAGTCTGTAGACATAATTTCAAATAACCTGAGTAACATTGACGAAAATATCGTCTTTTTCGAACTTGAAGATTGAGTGATAAAATCTTTAGAGATGAAAAAATAAAAACTGAGTTAGAAATACTAAGTTATCTCTTTTATCCTTGATCAAACTAGGGTTGAAAGAATATCGGTGTAATTTGGACATGATACTTGTCAAATGGATGGTAACCAAAGATAATATATATATAGATATGCAGGCAGGTAGAAACCTCCTTCCTAAATTGCTTGTAGCAGACAACTAATTTTTGAACCTCTGAGTTATTTAGGTACTTGAAGAGATTGATGATGATCTTGAATTTTCTCAAGACCTCTAAATTTATACCTGCCTGCATATCTATATATATATATATTATCTTTGATGGTAACTTTAAATTACGTTTAACTTTCTTTCCAAACTGAGAAATAAAAAAACGTATTTCCCAAGACTAGGGCTATAAATCTTCATATTCAGGGCTAGGAAAAGAGCACAGTGGGTCAGACACCAAAAATTTGGTGGATAATTGTTAAGATTACTGGGTTAAGTCGTATACAACTTAAAGAATCAATAAAAATAGTGTTTTAATTAAATTTGACAAAATTAGCGAAACTTTTTGCAATTGAATAAAGGAAATATTATAAAATTAGGTTGTAAATATAAAAATTACAAAATATAAAATAGGGTTGATATTGAAATAAAAAATAAATAAAAAAATTATAAAATTAAAAAAAGAAAGCAAATTAATCAAACAGTTTTAAATTTATGATAACACATCCACAGTATTGATTCAAAATCTAAACCAAAGCAGAATAGCAATATAGGCAATATAGTTTTTTTAATTGAAAAAGGTTTTACATATTTAATAAAACAAAATATTTAACGTTTAGGAATGAAAAAAAAATATATTTTTAACTGATTTTTGTTTAGAAATGCTTATTCGGAAACATGATGACGTAACAGTTTTCTTTTACACGAAGGTAAGAAAAATTAAAAATAAATTATAAAGACAACCATCATTCTAAATAAATCACATTGCACAAGCTTTTTAACAAACTTTTTGATATAACTGGTATTAGCAAAATTAGAGCCAAAATAGATTTCCATAAATGTATTTGGGAAGTCGGGAGTGTTGACCCCCCCTCTGTAATGATGTACTTTTGATGATCTACAAAATAGACGAGAATTTGACGAAAATTGAATTTCTAGATTGTTTAAAGTAAATACGTAATACTAGAAACTTTTATTTCTATTACTAGGCATTCAGCGCACCTTTGACCAATGCCTTTTTTCGAATTTAACTTTTGATTTTCAAGCCGCAATTTATAGATAGATTTCAAAAACTGTAACTGTAAAATGTTTCACTTTAGACCATTAACCTTCCCTGGGTATAAGTTGCCCAAAAAAATTTTGACCCGTGGCCGAATTTAAAGAATTTGAACGGCAGTTTAAATTTAAGCCGCGGTTTAAATATGGTTGGTTCCACTTAAAATTGTATCAAATGTTTCAAGATTTAAACCGGCGCTTAATTAAAACCGGGTTTTGGCGGGTTTAAACCGTGGCTCAAATCTTTAAATTCCATCTCCGATCGGTTTAATTTGAATGCTTGTTATTTTCTTTACAGGGTGTCAAAGGAGAAGCGAGACTAGTGGAAGGACTTGAGGTAGAAAATTTATTTAAAGCCATGGAAAGTTAAGATTAGAGGTAGTTGATCTCGGTAGGATTGATTCAACTACTTGGTCAAATACTGATTAACAGGTAGTTGAATTACTTCACTCTATTTATAAATTCCTATCTTCAGTAAATTTGTTACCAACTTATAACTATATTGGTTTAACTTAAAACCCGCTGTACAGTCTATATATAATCAAACGTACTGATTGCTGTACATAAGACATTGCAGTAAGTATTTCAGGAGGATGGAATATATGTACAGCTAGGATTGCTGATATATATTCCAGGAGGTTGATCATATACTTGAGGAGGAAGGAATAAGGTTAGGATTGATGATATATTCCAGGAGGTTGATCATATACTTGAGGAGGATGGAATATGGTTAGGATTGATGCTATATATTCCAGGAGGTTGATCATATACTTGAGGAGGATGGAATATGGTTAGGATTGATGCTACATATTCCAGGAGGTTGATCATATACTAGAGGAGGATGGAATATGGTTAGGATTGATGACATATATTCCAGGAGGTTGATCATATACTATAGGAGGATGGTATATGGTTAGGATTGATGATATATTACAGGAGGTTGATCAAATACTAGAGGAGGATGGAATATGGTTAAGATTGATGATATATATTCCAGGAGGTTGATCATATACTAGAGGAGGATGGAATATGGTTTGGATTGATAATATATATTCCAGGAGGTTGATCATATACTAGAGGAGGATGGAATATGGTATGATTGATGATATATATTCCAGGAGGTTGATCATATACTAGAGGAGGATGGGATACCCCTGGTTAGAATTGATGATCCTCTGGAGGCCGATAAGTGGGGTTTAGAGGTCAGTATACAGATCAGATTAATGAACAGTGTTCCATTGGATTTATTAGAAATTTTATTTTCGAATTTAAGGAAATTTTTAATCTCAACATTGCTCTGATAGAACCTCTTTACAAACGACGATTTTTACATTTTAATGTTTAATTCACCTATAGCAAATACACACGGTTAAAGTTATTTAACAACTTTATAAAACGAAAAAATTGGAACGGATATGTCCAGGAATCATATTGTATTAGTGTGATGTACTGCGTATAGTTTGTGAACATTTACATGAATTGTACACTTTGAACTCCCTTTTAGACTGAAAGGGACTGACAAATTTCATACCGTTGGATTGTTTAAATTCCACTCTAATATAGTCTATTCTCTTTGTGAATATATCTCAGAAAATCTTTGGAAAAAAAATCTTAATTGATTTTTCGCATTTTTCTATAATAATTAAAATAAGAAAAATGTTGAAAAAAAACTTTAGTACTTATAAAAAATAAAGGAATACAAAATGTCAATTAATCTTCTAAAGGAATTGAGTCTTTGCCAAAACCTCAGATATTCTAATCTTCGAACCCAATACTGTAGACCATAGATATTTCAAAATATAAATTATATTAGATCAAATATTTTTAGTTTGTAATATCAAAGGTTTACACCATAAACTTACAAAAAAAGGATTCGAAAATCTGATTTTGTGGCGAAGACTCAATTGCTTTCAAAGAAAACATCCTGTGAAATGTAAAATAAATTCCTTTATGCAATTGGTAATATAGTCTGATTAAAATCATATATATTGTGTGGATGTTAATTTGTTTTTATATTTTCAAGGTTGTTCCTGGTATTGTACATTTCCAGTATAAGGAACCTCATTTATTCAAGGTAATTCTAAAGAGACTGTTCCTGGTATTGTACATTTCCAGTGTAAGGAACCCCATATATTCAAGGTAATTCTAAAGAGACTGTTCCTGGTATTGTACATTTCCAGTATAAGGAACCTCATTTATTCAAGGTAATTCTAAAGAGACTGTTTCTGGTANCTCTTAGAAACTGTCTACATACTCTGTCTATTGAAGATCGTAGAATGGTTGATAGAAACTAGAAACTCTTAGAAACTGTCTACATACTCTGTCTATAGAAGATCGTAGAATGGTTGATAGAAACTAGAAACTCTTAGAAACTGTCTACATACTCTGTCTATAAAAGATCGAAGAATGGTTGATAGAAACTAGAAACTCTTAGAAACTGTCTACGTACTCTGTCTATAGAAGATCGAAGAATGGTTGATAGAAACTAGAAACTCTAAGAAACTGTCTATACATACTCGGTCTATAGAAGATCGTAGAATGGTTGATAGAAACTATAAACTTCTAGAAACTGTCTACGTACTCTGTCTATAAAAGATCGTAGAATGGTTGATAGAAACTATAAACTCTTAGAAACTGTCTACAAAGGAACCCCATATATTCAAGGTAATTCTAATGGGACTGTTCCTGGTATTGTACATTTCCAGTATAAGGAACCTCACATATTCAAGGTAATCCTAAAGGGACTGTATGCAGGCGTAAATTCACGGATCTCTGTTTAGTATAAATGAGATATTCGTTATTTGTATTGAACAAAATGATAATTCATAGTTGTGGTTTCTCTAAAAGAGTGACTGGCAAAGTTTTAGATGTAAACTGCAGAAAAAATTAAGGAACCGTCAACACTCAACATGTTTTATAACAGAAAAACAATGATATGTGACTCATTGTTGGTCAGAGAGAGGGTTAAAACTAGTGTTATTGAACTAGACATTCCAATCTTAAAATGGAGCTCACTGTCCGCTGTACGGTACAATATCTTTGGTCAGTGTACGGCAGAATACTGCAGTACACACCGAAAGCTTAGTTGAGGGATCAGTTAAAAGCAAAGACTACACAGACTGCTTATCTCCATTCACAGAGTGCATGGGCTAAGCAGGCCTAAGTTGACCCGGCAAGACATGCTACGTTTTTACGATAGGTTTGTAGAGTGCTATCTCACGGCCACTTGTTGAACATTTTACCCATAGGGGTAAAGTTTTACAAATATTAAAGAAATACTCCAATTTTAAACATGTTACATAACATTTATGAATTCAGTCTATTTTTGAAGATTTTGTGTAGGATCCTTAAATATTCCTGAATACAGACGTTACTGACTGGTCGTGTACATTACTTGTGCAAAATAGAATATGCTTAATTAAAATATTTTAATTGTGTGTTTTAGGGCGATCTGACAAATGTGAAGAAGATCGTAGAATGGGTGATAGAAACTAGAAACTCTTAGAAACTGTCTACATACTCTGTCAATAGAAGATCGAAGAATGAGATCGAAGAATGGTTGATAGAAACTAGAAACTCTTAGAAACTGTCTATATACTCTGTCTATAAAAGATCGAAGAATGGTTGATAGAAACTATAGAAACTCTTAGAAACTGTCTACATAGTACAGTTGTAAGCCTATATACCAATATTTTAGTGAAGCTTTGCTTACTTTCCAGCTTGCATGTAAACAAAGGGAAGCTGTCATAATCAAAAGAGGAAATATTTTGTTTTAGAGATTTTAATGTTTAATGTCATACACACATATTGGATAACTTTAAATGGTTTTTTTTGTGGGGGATATTTAACACTGATATGACACAGCTTCTATAAAATATGCAGTACGCACTTTGATAACATTTGCACTGCATGTGTACTTCATATCCATGTGCTTAAATTCAGGGCATATATACCCCACACAATTTATTTGAGAAAATAAACAGTTAATTCTTTATATAAAACCAATCCATTTTGTTTCATAAAATAAACATTATTTTTATAGCAAAGATTATTTGCCCGGCAACACACAGCTTCCCTTTGTTTACATGAAAGCTGGATAGAAAGCAAAGATGTGCTATAATGTCGTCTGTGTTATATTGGTAAATAGGCTAACCACTGTTCATACTCAGCCCCAATTAAGCAATCTATTTATATAGGACCTCAAAACCATTTAAAATTATAACTAAGCCATTATAATGTTTTATTGTTAAACATTAGTGAACATAATTTTATGTGAGTTGCTTGCCCAAAAAAAAATGAAACTTTTTTTTCTAAGTAATATTGAGGAATTTATTGTCGTTTTTCTAGTTCTAATTTTCAAATTCTTCCAAGTCACTTCCAAAAAAAAACACAATTCAAAATGATATATTTTTAGATGGAAAAACAAAGATATCTTCATCTTTTAGCTCAAAGGATCGTAATTGATTAAGATTAAAGTTAAATAAAAGTTGAAATCGTACCCCAATACATGTTATTTAAAAAAAATTGTGATGCATAGGATCAATGAAATATTGTTTATTATATAAAATACAAACCCTAAGAAACAGCTATTTATCTATAAATACACTTTGCGAGTCATAGCCCTCACTTTAGGTCTAGAACCGGGCTTTTAAACTAACTGCTTTAATCCTCAGGCACGCTGCCTGAGAGACTACTTTTTCCTGTAACAAACTAAATCATTGTTCTGACCCGCTTTCAGTTGTCATATTTTGATAATATTTAGCTTTTAGGAAAGCCTATGACATAAGGATACTGATTGCACAAATTTTGCAAAGACTTTTTTGAAATTTTCACTTTTTTCGTTTTTCTTAATTACACAGTTGGTTATTTAAAGTTTTGCAAATTTGTAGTGCATATTTGAAATGGCATGGTCAAGGGCTTTTCAAAAATGAATATTTTATCATTTTTTGGAATTTTTTTGTTGCAAACATTTGTACCTCAGTGAAACCCTTAATAACGAATACATCGAAAGAATTCATCAAACGTCGTATTCTTCACTTTCTGATCATGGAATGTTGCAGATATTTAGTTTTTAATTAAATGATTATATGGAACTCTTTAAAACTGTTCCAGCATATTCATGGCTATTTATTTATTTTCGCAAATACTGAAATTTACGTAATATAGTATAAAACACATTGAAAAATTGTCAAGACGACATTTGATAAATTCTTCCGATGTATTCGTTATTTCCCTGTATATAACTGGATTTTGCAGTAGTCCAGTTGATTTGACACCAACTTTTTAATTCAGAAGTTACAAAAATGAAAACGACTTTCAGAAAATCCTTTACCTGAGGATTTTAAAAGATGTCAATTTTCACTTAACCTTACATCCAAAGTAGTGCATATAATATATTTCTTTTATAGGAAAATGTTATCATAAACTTTGGAATTTTATTCAGTGTTCTGAGAGTTCTGCAAGGAAAAGATTTTTTTATCAATTTCTTGTTGACAATAAAATTAAAAATGCTACCAATCTAATGCTATGTGAGTGTGACAATCGCTCAAAATAAGAAACTTTTGTCTGTCTGAACGACATCTTTACATTATTGTTTACAATTACATTATTATAAACAACAAAGTTTGAGAAAAAAATCTCATAAGAATGCCTGTCTCTTTTCACAGACAAAAATGATTTTAGGCATTTTGGATTGAAAGAATATGAGAGATATGGTTGCCTAGAGATATGGTTGCTTAGAGATATGATTGCCTAGAGATAAGGTTTCCTATAGATAAGGTTTCCTAGAGATATGGTTTCCTGGAGATATGATTTCCTGGAGCTATGGTTTCCTAGAGATATGGTTTCCTAGAGATATGGTTGCCTACAGATATGGTTGCCTAGAGATAAGGCTTCCTAGAGATATGGTTGCCTAGAGATATGGTTGCTTAGAGATATGGTTGCCTAGGGATAAGGTTTCCTAGAGATATGGTTGCCTACAGATATGGTTGCCTAGAGATATGGTTGCTTAGAGATAAGGTTTCCTAGAGATATGGTTGCCTAGAGATATGGTTGCTTAGAGATATGGTTGCCAAGAGATAAGGTTTCCTAGAGATATGGTTGCCTAGAGATATGGTTGCCTAGAGATATGGTTGCTTAGAGATAAGGTTTCCTAGAGATATGGTTGCCTAGAGATATGGTTGCCTAGAGATATGGTTGCCTAGAGATAAGGTTTCCTGGAAATATGATTTCCTGGAGATATGGTTTCCTAGAGATGCGGCTTTCTGAAGATATGGTTTCCTAGAGATATGGTTGCCTAGAGATATGGTTGCCTAGAGATATGGTTGCCTAATGATATGGTTGCCTAGAGATATGGTTTCCTGGAGATATGGTTTCCTGGAGATATGGTTTCCTGGAGATATGGTTCCCAAGAGATATGGTTTCCTAGAGATAAGGTTTCCTAGAGATATGGTTTCCTGGAGATATGGTTTCCTGGAGATATGGTTTCCTGGAGATATGGTTTCCTGGAGATATGGTTTCCTAGAGATATGGTTTCCTGGAGATATGGTTTCCAGGAGATATGGTTTCCTGGAGATATGATTGACTAGAGATATGGTTTCCTAGAGATAAGGTTTCCTAGAGATATGGTTTCCTGGAGATATGGTTTCCTGGAGATATGGTTTCCTTGAGATATGGTTTCCTAAAGATAAGGTTTCCTAGAGATATGGTTTCCTAGAGATAAGGTTTCCTAGAGATAAGGTTTCCTGGAGATATGGTTTTCTGGAGATATGGTTTTCTAGAGATATGGTTTCCTTAAGATATGGTTTCCTAGAGATAAGGTTTCCTAGAGATAAGGTTTCCTGGAGATATGGTTTTCTGGAGATATGGTTTTCTAGAGATATGGTTTCCTTAAGATATGGTTTCCTAGAGATATGGTTTCCTTGAGATATGGTTTCCTGGAGATATGGTGTCCTAGAGATATGGTTTCCTAGAGATTTGGTTTCCTAAATATTGACAAGAAATTGCCAAACACTATATATAGTGTACACTATGATGTAGGTATAAATGGGTAAATATTTTTCTATCTGAAAATTT